GCCCCTTCCAACTCTACTATCCTGTGCTCCCATGATTCAGTCAGGGTTGGGTGAATGCATTGAGCTACCCAGATCAACAGTCTGACTAGGTTTACTGCAGCTTTCTATGTTCTCAGCCACTGTTAAAATGCCAGAGAACCCATGACTGAAGAGAAGCAAATCAGATGCGGCTTTAAGATTTGGCACAGGGTATTGGTGAAAAGTTGCCCCTGATCTGATCACTGATCCAATACTTTAACTGTTGGGTTGTCCCAGTTAAGCAGCGTGTCCCTGTGCTCAGCCACATACAGTACCACCATCTAAGCTCGAAAACACTCTCTTGGCCAAAAGCAAGAAACCCCCCCAAGAATACTTTGCAAAAACGACTAAAAAACCCCAGACTCTGCAGAGTTTTTTGGCAGCATGAAACCTTCCTCAGCCGAGGTCACCAGAAATGTTTAGGCACCAAGCAGGCAGGGAGCTTATCTCTGATGAGCAGAGGGAACGGAGTGTTAGATCTCCAAGCCACACTTGGCGGTTAGCAAGATTGGTAAGAAAACAAACTGTCTGCGCCCACTGCTAGCTCACACCATTGAAAGGAATTGTGTTCCTGGTGAATGCTGAACAGAACCAGGGGGAATTGGATTTACAATTCAAATAGTTAATTAACCTCTGGGAAGCTAATATGGAGCTCTCAAAACACACACCAAGCCGGTTGTTTCCCTGACCCATTTCTGGGTTGACATGGCTTTCAATACAATTTGACAAATACAGACAGGAAAACTCCACATCCTTTGTTCAGCAAAACATTAGAAACTGAATATTTCACTTGGCAGCCTTGGCCAATTGTCAACTTTAAATACTTATTTAGTAATTACATTTGTTATTTTTACATTGCATGTATACCCCTCCTTCTTTCCTATTGCAAAGAATCCAAGGCAAGTTACGTCGTTCTTCATTCCACTTTTACTCTCACAACTACCAGTCCCAGCCAGCAGAGCTAGTGATCCTGCAGGGGGCAACACGAAGGGGACCCAACTGGCACACCCATGAGCTGCGAAGGATAGGGAGCATTTATGGAGTAGACCTCTGCCTGAAGGTCTCACCAGCCTGAGTCAAGTTTAGAAAGAAAGATGGGAGAGCACAGTGCTTGGAGCTGTCCATCCACAGGTAGCACCCAGATAGCCGTCTGAGCATGCACATGGGCCGGCTTTCCCACTGTGATGGTACGTTGAGCTTTCCTTTCTATTGACAGTCTAAAGTTTACATGAGCACCACCATCTTTATGAAAATGTGTCCTCTTTTTTCTTTTTTGGGTGACACATACATAGTGCTTCTACATAAGGGTAGGGCTCTCTTCATCCCTTCTGTCTTCAAGCAAATTCAAGGCAGTGTAAGGAACTGGCTGGGTTTTGAGGATTCCTGAGAACCTGCAAGTCTGATGTGAAGAACATAAGAAAAGCCATGGCTGCATCAGACCAAAGGTCCATGTAGTCCAGCACTCCGTACACATGGTGCCAAACCAGCTGCCCACGGGATCCCTCCAGCAGGACGGGTGCAAGGCCTCCCCCTGCCCGAGCTCCTCAGCAACAGGTGCACGCAGGCATGCCGCCTCTGGTGACGGAGGGAGCACATAGCCACCAAGGCTAGTAGCCACTGATAGCCTCCTCCTCCATGAATCTGTCCAATCCCCCTTTAAAGCCACCCAGATTGGTGCCCTATGGCAGCACATTTCAGTTTAACCAATACAATTTAACACACTGGGCAGAAGTACTTTCTCTTATCTGTCCTAAACCTCCCACCAATCAGCTTCATGGGATGGCCCTGCATGCACATGGTATGGGAGAGGGAGAAACATGCCCCCCTCTGCACTTTCTCCACACTGTGCACACTTCTGAACACCTCTATCATGTCCTGCTTCCTTGTCTTTGTTTCTAAGCTCAACAGTCCCAGTTGTTGCATGGATCAACACCTGCTCAGGGCTCACAGACCAGCAGGGGCTTTCCAACGTTTCACGAGGCTCCAGATATATGTGCGCTCACCTGGTAGAATGACCCATTGAACCGAATGAGGGTTGCTTTGCAACAGCCATGCACAGGATTGCACCATCAGCATTCTCCCACTGCCTTTGAAATACTTATTTTGATTGTCAAAGTCTACACTGAGATCTTGCCCCAGGTAAAATTCTCTGTATAAAATACTGAAATGAGTCCTGAGCCTTTTTTTAATGATAATTGAAAAGTGTCCTACTTAAGATGAATATGGCATTCCACTGCATCAGTTTCCTCCAATTGTGTGCTGAAGAGCAAAACGCGATTTCAATAAAATGTCATTTTTTGTGCTGCTGCTGCTTTCTTCCTAGGACAGGGTGCTGAGAGTTCAGCTAATGGCCCTCATTTGGCCCAAAGAAAGCAGTGCATTTGCATGCCAAAGATGTAGGCGCATTATGAAAATGATGTGTTTATGAGCTTACATTAAAGCAAAAGAGGGCATTAATGTTTTATTTTTTTCAAATAATTCAGGAAATTGCTAAGTGAAAGATTTTATCCATGGCAATAACTCAGCTTCTTTGGTACATCTGGAAGAAAGCCAGATGCACTGATTCAAAGGAATGAAACCCTCCAGGTTTGATCACAAGTAAACCAGAATTGGACCATGAAATATAGTGCTGCATTTGAGGTAACGTATTAGCTAGTGGGGAAAGGAAAAGGAAGCCAAAACAGAAAATAGGATGCACCATCCAGAGGAGAACAAACTGGCTAGAGTAATTCTTCAAAAACTGGATAATATCCAAGAATTACCCATAACATGAATTAGCAACCACTACGCAGGATCAACATGAGACATCAAGGAAGCATAATGCAAGATTCAACATCAATCTCTTCATGTTCAGCATCCTCATAAATGGACCAAGCACGAAGTAGGATGCCTCTTTTATGCACAAAGAGGCTACGCAATGAGGAAAGACTACAAGCGCTTTAGAAGATGGCCGTTTTCTTTCAAAAGGATCAGGACAAGCCAACATGCCAGCATGAAATGAACAAGGAAAAGACATTTCAACAAGAATCTCTCTTGCTATGCATTACAGTGCAAAACTATATTGTTTACTCAAAAGCAATTCTTTGTTTATTTCCAGGACTTGCTTCAAAGTAAAAGACTGCAGACATGAAAAAAGACCCAAATACTCTGTACTACAGTTAACAATATTTATTTTATTATTTGTTTATTTATCACATTTGTATGCTGCACCATAGCCACAGGCTCTCTGGGTGGCTCACAGCATCGTGTGTGTGTGTGTGTGTGTGAGACAAATAAAAATAACAAAACTGAAGGTTGGACACTTATCCACTGCCACACTGGTGGACCAGCAGCAGTTTTTCTCAAGAACTGCAATGTTTGGGGGATTCTTCAGCCAACAGGAAGGCCAGTGAGCACTGCAGTTGTGTCTAATCAGGGTGGTGGAGGAAGGATGTACCAGTGAGATCAGGCTGTGAGAAGAGAGATAGGAGAAAGAGAAGTTAAAACAATGAGAAAAGAAAGAGAATACAAGAGGAAGTAAAACAGAAGAGAGAGAAGGACAAAGGAGGGAGGGAGGCAGAGAAAGAGAACAGAGAAGGGGGAAAGAGGGATAATGAGAATGGAGAAGTGAGGAGGAGACTTGAGAAGAGAAGAACAGGAAAATTGAGAGGGAGAACAGGAGGCAGGAAGATGTGAAGGCAGGAAAAGGGTCGTCCCCTTTTCGAAGAAAGCTCATATTACATGAAACCAAGTAGTAATCTGCTACGGGGGAGCAGGGGAGAGATTTATTTTGATGTCAGTTGGAGAACCCAACAGTGAGGTGTGTCAGACTTTGAGCCACGTTCATATCTGCTGCAGAAACGCAGTGATCCACTGGCTCTACAATTCCACCTGATGCTGGAGTTTCCCAAAGCTCCCCAAGAAATGCAAGTGGGTGACAGCTGAAAAGGAATTGCATCCTATGTCTTCTGAGCCATCTAGTTCTTCACTGCTTCCACTTATTTACCTGGAGTGGAGCAGATCTGAGCCTCAAACTTGTATTTACTTTCAGGGTCCTGTGAGATTAACATGAATCCTAAATTTGAAAAGCATTGCATCAAAGATAAGTCCTGCCAACCTTATTTGAGACGGAGCAGAGAAAGGTGGACAGGTTCAGTTTGCTCTTCCAAATTAATGTACAAAACAAGCCAAATTGTATTACACTGAAAATAACCAGCCCACAAAGTCACACACAGGACAGTGTGTTTTGGAAGCGGGCTCCAGGTAAATGCCTGCAATTAAAAGGAGGTGCACATTTGGGTTGAATTAATTTTAAAATCATTGCTGTTCTTACTTGAAGCTGTTTTTATTCTCATTTTTAACTACTGAATTATACACTTTTGTGGATTATTGTATTTTAATAAACAGAAAACAGACATCTAATCCACCTTTTCGGAAACTTATATATACTGTAACTATGTTAATTGCTGACCACACACTTAGCCTTACAGATATACATGTCATATATGCCTATCTATTGTAATTTATCTTCTGTAAGAAGTGTGTTTCCCTTTAACATGGTCTTGCTTGTGTGAAAGTCACATTTAAATATTTTAATTAAAATGAACGCATTGTAATAATTTTACTGCTACTGACAGTCAACCCGACAATTGGTTTACTGGGCAGCCTCATATAAACTTCATATAAATAAAACGGTGCCTCACTGGCGTGTTTCCTCTGGAGCTCGTGCCTCCCAGTGTCCCCGCCCGAGCAGATTTCTAATTCTTGCATACAAAGAGGGAGACCCTCGCTACGCTCCCTATCATTAAACCGAAGCCCCGGCGCCGAAGAAGCGCCCAGCGGTCACGTGCCCAACCCTTGCGGGGAGGCGGGGCCTTTAGGGGCCGGCGTGGAAGTCTCGTTGATGACGTATATTGGGGCGGACCGAGCTGCTCGTCATTAGCGTCGCGTCCGCCGCAGGGACGGTTGCTATGGGCTTGGCGGCGGCGGCGGCGCGGGGCAGCCGCGTGCGGCCGTTTGGGCCCTTCCTCGGGGCCGGTGTCCGCGCTCGGGCAGCAGCGACCCAAGCGAGGCCTCGCGGGCTGGTCTACGAGCAGCACGGGGAGCCGGCTCAGGTCTTACAGTAAGGGAGGAAGGGCTGGGCGTCCTTTTGCGGTGGGAATGAGGGGAACCCCAATAAGCTTCCCACCTTTCGGACTGACTGCAGTGCTTGTTTTATTATTTGCATTATATGCCGCCTTTCACTTGCAAGGAACTCAAGTTGGCTTGCAAGGGTCTCCTTGTCTCCATTTTAATCCACGCAACACCTGTGAGGTGGGCCAGGTTGAGAGTAAGTGACTGGCCCAAAGTCACCCAGTGAGATACATGATTGAGAGGGGACTAGAACCTGGTCTCATGAATGGCAGTCCAACACTATGACCACCATGCCTCATTGTGTGGTAGATTAAGCTGAGAGTCTGTGCCTGGCCCAAAGTCGCCCACTTGGCTCCATGGCTGAGCAAGGACTAGAATGCAGATCACCTGTGTCCCAGTCTTGTATGCTTAACCGTGTGTGCAGTGTAGTGGTTATTTCCACTAACTTGGACAGCTTTGAAAATGGATAAGAAAAATTCATTGAGGATGAGATTAGCCGTAACAGCTATCTCTTACCTCCAGTACGAGAGGCGATATATTTCTTAATACCTGTCAATGAGGAACAGAAGTGGGAGGGTGCAGTCACACCCATGTCCTACGTGTGGGCTTCGCATAAGTTTCTGGTTGGCTACTGTAGGAAAAGGTGGATTAAATAGTTGTTTGAACTGATCTAGCACAGCTCTCATATTCTTGCAAGGTACTGCAGGCTAGGTAATATATTTAAAAAGCCAGGAGAAACACTGAACATACATTAGGCACTAGCATTACTTTAATTAGGTTTATTACTGTACTTTAAGAACATATTTAGAAATGTGGCTTATGTCAGCACAGTGTGATGGAAAGCATTATTTACTGTAGCTTCCTCTGTATGACCTATTGGGCAAGTAAAAATAATTTTGAATTATCCCAGATCCTCCTTTATGCATGGCATAATTGTGCATGAACTAATTTCCTCAAGCTTTGCTTAAGCAGTTTCCTTTTCCTTGCACTTCTCTTTCTTAAACTGCTGAAACATCAGCAGTTCCAGCTGAGAGAAATTACAGCTGTGTTCCACAGCTGGGCATTTCCTTTACAGAATATTTCTGGAGAGCATAAATGGTAGTATAAGAATTGGAACAAGTTAATGTGGCTGTGCTGACATCTTAAATTCTGACCCAAGAACTTGGTTCTGGAGCTTTTTAACTAAATCATTCTTCAGAAGAAGTCCAAATACTGAAATTTTGTCTCTTTGCAGATGACATCCTTGGGGCAACTGGGTACAGATTGACTCTGTTGCTACTGTCCCTGGGCAAGTGATGATTCTGATATGCCATATAAAACTCAGGCAGATGTACTCTCCATGATTTTTTTGTTCAGGTTTTATTTTGTCCTTTAGCTTATATAAAAGATTAGCTGACTACTGAAATCTTCCAAGTACCTGGGCAGGTGATGTTTGTGTTAAGTAGATCTGACATTAAGTCTGTCTTGTGTCAGATAAAATACCCAAGCATTTTTTCCTCTCTTACTTTGAAGGCCGCAGGCAGAGAAGGATAATCAAGCCTACAAACACATTTCTTTTAGCTGAAGTTAAGAAGTCAGTGTCCAACTGGCTATTGGAACTTAAATATATTGAACATAGACATAGTCAGATAAATTAAACTGATTTTGAATAAGGGCTCTTCATTTATTTGAACTGGACGGTTTGGCTTCCGAAATTGTAAAATGGACTCTCACAAAGGCACAGTTTTGAGTGAGCACACACATTTGCCATTCTGACAATAAACCTCTGACTCAACTCCAACTTCTGGGTATGGATTTCCCATGCCTAATTCATACCAAGGTTTTAAACTCCATATTTTAAGAGCAATATTTGGTGTCAAAATACAAAATCCAGTAGTGTGGATTTTGCCCAATCTCTTTAGTTCACTGGGATTATGGATTTTTGTACTACCTTTAAGTTGTTATGACTTGAGGTTCCAAAATGCACTGATTACAAACTATGCTTCAAATCAAATTAAGCTTGCTTGCTTGGCTTTCAATATTTGCTGGGTGCCTTGATTAAAAGTCAGCATGTTGTAAAATAGTATTGACATGTAATTTACTCTTTGAAAAGGAAATTGTGAGGAAATTCTGGGAAAGGTGTCAGGAGTTTTGGCACAAGACAGTCATTGGTGGTGCTGCTGGGAAAAGGAGCAGCCTTTCCTGCCTGCCTAGGACCATCAGGGCGATTTGCCACATTCGATCATAAAAATACCAAAATAACTTATCAAAAGCAACAGTAGTTGAGCCTGTATTAGAATGATTCAAAAGCACTATAATGAAAAGCATATCCAAACAAAATGATCTTAACTTGATGTGGAACATAGTCAAAAAGTTGCTAACTGGATTTCATCGGTCAAAGGATTTTGCAGCTTGATGCCACTAGTGAGAAAACTCTGACCCATACTCTGTTTTCTGAACTTTAGACTTCAGAGTTGAACAAAGCATATGGACAGGATCCACTGGGGGGAAGCAGTCCGTCAGATATTTGTTGTTATGTGCCATCAAGTTGTCCTTGACCTGTGCTGACCCAGTGAATGAATGAATGAATGCCCTTCAGAATGCCCTGTCCCTGACAGCTACATTCAACTCTTCAAAGTTCAAAGCCATGTCTTCTCTTGTGAATTAAATTCATCTCATAGTTGGTCTTCCCTTGCATCCTCTGGCTTCAACTTTCCTTAACATGATTGTCTTCTCCAGGGAGTCTTGCCTTCTCATGATGTAGCTGAAATATGACAGCCTCACTTTGGACATTTTTGCTTCTAAGGCTTGATTTGCTGCAGGACCTAGCTTGTTTGTCTTTCTGTCAGTCCAAGTGTCCTCAAAGCTCTCCTCCGGCACCATATTTCAAACAAATCAATTTGCCTCCTCACATATTTAAATCCCAACAATTCAGGGCTTCAAAGGTTAAAACCAACAACTTAAAATGGACCCCATGACATATGGGAGCCAATAACATTGATGTCCCTTCATGGATCACTAAGAGATGGGAGTACCAGACCATCTTATTTGTCTCTTGAGAAACCTGTATGCAGGTCAAGAAGCAACAGTGAGAACTGGACATTGGAACCACTGATTGGTTCAAAATTGAGAAAGGAGTTCAGCAAGGCTGTATACTGTCGCCCTGCCTATTTAACTTATATGCAGATCACATCATGAGAAAGGCAGAGCTAGATGAATCACAAGTTAGAATTAAGATTGCCAGGAGAAATATCAACAACCTCAGATACGCAGATGATACCACTCTAATGGCAGAAAGTGAAGAGGAACTAAAGAGCCTCTTGATGCGGGTGAAAGAGAGTGCAAAAGTTGGCTTGAAACTCAACATTAAGAAAACTAAGATCATGGCATCCGGCCCTATCACTTCCTGGCAAATAGATGGGGAAGAAATGGAGGTAGTGACAGATTTTATTTTCCTGGGCTCCAAGATCACTGCAGACAGGGACTGCAGCCAAGAAATTAAAAGATGCTTGCTCCTTGGGAGGAAAACTACGGCATATCTAGACAACGTACTAAAAAGCAGAGACATCACCCTGCCGACAAATGTTTGTATAGTCATGGCTATGGTTTTCCCAGTAGCAATGTATGGCTGTGAAAGCTGGACCATAAGGAAGGCTGAGCACCGAAGAATTGAGGTCTTTGAATTGTGCTGCTGGAGAAGACTCCTGTGAGTCCCTTGGGCTGCAAAAGATCAAACCGGTCAGTCCTAGAGGAGATCAACCCTGACTGCTCTTTAGAAGGCCAGATCCTGAAGATAAAACTCAAATATTTGATCCACCTAACGAGAAGGAAGGACTCACTGGAGAAGACCCTGATGCTGGGAACAATAGATGGCAAAAGAAGAAGGGGATGTCAGAGAATGAGGTGGCAGTTGGTGTGAGCTTAAGTGGACTCCAGGGGATGGCGGAGGACAGGAAGGCATGGAGGAATGTGGTCCATGGGGTCAGGATGGGTCAGACGTGACTTCGCGAGTAACAACAACATTGATGCGGTATTGGAAAGCTTTATGTCACTGAGAAACACATTCTTAAACTACGGACCCATTCCTGCACTTTTTAAGGAAATGTTTCCAAATCTGTAACCTTAAACAGATTTGCTAATAGACTCGTGCTTGTAAAAGTATAGACTTAGGTGAGGGAGATAGAAAACCACTAACATTTTTTTCTTGACTTTGTTTACATGTAATGTGGGCAAATTAGCCAGGTTTTCCCACTAGTTTACTGCACTGTGTGCCTGGTACATTCCAGGTTCAACTCAAGCTATCATGAAACTGAGGTTATAGTAGTCCACATTGCTATAATGCAAGTTGTGAACTTACAGACTTTCCTCAAGCACAGGTATTGGGTTTATTTTTCCAAAAACTGGATCAGAATATGTTAGATGACTGAGAAATATGTACTTAGTCTGGGATAAAAACACAGTGATTTCCAAGTAGGAGGGAGCTTCACAATTATGCTTTTATAGATAATTTTATATTTACATCTAAGCCCTCTTTGAAAATTGCGAAATTTGTTGCAGTGATTTCCTTGTAGCAGGGTGTTTTATGGTCAACTTTCTCCAAGTACACACATCAGCTCTGAAAGTATTATGACAATATTTACTGAAGGGTTCTTTGTTCAAACTGTATTTCATTGTGAGTTCTGTCTGGAAAACAGTATGTTCTGTCTTGGACTGTTCTCAAGAACAAGGAACAATGTTTATTTTTTCTTTATTTTCCAAAAATGTTTCCTTTTGTAGCAGAGAGGGGAGGTTTCAGATTTCTTCTTAAAACTTCTGTCTTGAATAGAGGAGATAGGCCCAATCTATCTCCTCTACACATTTTTCTCCTATCCTTCTGCTGACCAGTCACACACACTCTTAATGTTGTACTCCCCCCTCTTGACTCACACAAACTGAGCATGTGCCAAACAGTTGTTATGAGCAGAGGGGGCAGGGAGATAAAATCACATTTTAAAGTACAAACACTTCATAATACTACTAAATACTGGGGCAAGACACTTACTAAGCTTTCTCCTTGACCTAATGCAATAAACTGTTTCACAAAAGGTGCAGAACAAAAGGACAACTAATCCAATAAACTCTAACCCCAGCAAAGTCTGGATTGTGGGTGGGCTGGCAATACCTATCAAACTTGTAAGTTGTTCATCAAACTTAAAATTGCTGTGAATAACATTTCTCAAATTCAGCACAGACCATTTCAAACCAATTTCTACAGTGCTGCATTTCAGATCAAGCCATTGAGCTGTTTTATTTATTTCCAAAATGTATATAGCATTCTGCAGTCAATAATAAAACAATTAAAATGAGATTTTGCCATTAGTACTGTAGCTCATTTTAACTGTGGTTATAATGGCAGATGATGATTTGTCTGCCTCACCTTGTGGTCCTTACCAGTACCCTTCATATTAAAGATGGGAAGGATGGAGGCTGAGGGAATGTGGCTTGTGCCCTAGCGGCATGTGTGGAGGCCAGAGCAGACTGTGACTGCACTCATAGCTTAGCTGCTGCTGCCCACTAAAAACAGGCAACATAGGCTGTGTGGGTAAGTAGTTTGACATCTCACCCTGATTGGTTGGAATAGTGCTTTTGACCTATGCACATTCCAGGGAACCTGCAGGAAAATAGTCTTTCCTCCAGGTTGGGACAGCAAACTTAGGAGGCAGTAGTACTTGTTGTACAGTCTAAGAGACCCAGGAGCCCTGTAGCAAGTCAAGCTGTGCTTACTGGGCAATTTTCTGGACATGAATAATGGTAAGGCTGGGAGCAGAGAAGGATAGAAGGCCATTTGGGGCAATAGGTAACAGGAAGGGGTGATAACAGGCTATGAAAAGAGAAGTAGAGTCTAGAGACCCTTGTTAAGTGTGTTTTGCACCAAGGATTTCAGAATGTGCTTATTGAAAGACATGTCCCCTTTTGGTTAAAGCAGATTGCACTTATTGATGATTCTGTGCGCTCTGACTCTTGATACTTAATTTTTGTCCTGAAAAGAAATCAAATATGACATTGGCCATAAAATTCCCTGCCCAGCATCTTGTGGATTAAGCAATGGATTTCTAACACAATTTACTTGACCAGTTGAAGCAAGTGGCCATTATTCAGCTGAATGAAACAATAAATTTGAGCAAATTTAGATGATTAGGTTCCTGCCATACTTTGTTGGGAATGTGGTAATTAATGGTCTGTCAGCATTTCCATTGTAACATCAATTTTCCAAGGGAACCATAAATTAACTTTGAAAAAAAAAATCTGGTCCATGCAGAAATGTTGAGAACAAGATGTTGAGTTTTACTTAGCCTGATTCTTCATTAGCAGCTATGAGCTACTCATCCAGCATTCCATAAGAGAGCTTTCTAATTAAGGATATGTCTGTGGCCCTCCAGTTAGAATAAAAGAATTCTGAGTGCAGACATTTACCTTACAATACTTCAACATAGTGTAGTTCACTATCCTTGCACAGAAAAATCCAGTGACCCCAAGCAGTCTGTATTTCAGCAGTATAATTTAAAGTGGGAGAAGAGTCATTTTGTTGCTGTTTTTATTAAATATTTGAGAGTTAGTAATCCTTTCTGCTCTGCTGCAGATTTCCACAGAAATGCATCTTCAACAGTTTTTGAAGACTGTTTGTTTCAAATCACTTTTAACTAAGATGCTTTTATTTAATATGTGGACTAGATTTACTATTGAAAACAATCTTCTGTTGGTTTCAAAATATAACTAATAGTTTGGCCAAGCTTAGAGACTTTTCAGGTATTGCCAGTTGGTTTTACTGAAACTTTTTTCTTCTATATAGGCCATCATGGGAGGATGCTTTGCCCTGAAAGGTGGCCTTGTACTATTTTATTAAACAATTGTTATATGATGGCTAGTTGTCAAAAAGAAAGCTCCATGCATGCATTTGTAATGAACACAAAATAAAGGGCTCATGACTGGAGTGAGAAGATAAAATACCGTGCAGGTAAAATACACTATGCATTTAATGTTAGTGAAAGGACGCAGATGCAAACAGTATATAACCTCTTCAGCCACATGGATGATAGATAGCTCAATTCTAATTAAGTCCAAATAGATGAGTAATAATTCCAAGCTGAACTAAGCCATAAAGCCCTGTCGTTTGTAGCACAGATGCTACTTGGGGCTTAAACAAGGGCTTTTGCTATTTGTACTTAGTGCCTATACACAAATTCCCCATGACAGTAACTGCTGCAAATGAGCAATTGTGTTTGTGCTCAGTTTGGTTTAAAACCATCAGGATCTGAAAGGAGCAGTTATTGGGCTTTCAGAGGAGATGTCTGAAATTATTCTGTTGAAACAGCCAAACCTGTTCTAATTCCAACAGCTCCAGCTATGTGTGCCTTTTTCTGTTTTTGAAGAAAAAGTTTTGGGTGCAAAAGTCCCTTCAGTGACAGATAACGCTTCCATAAAAATTCCTGTCTAGATCTAAAGTTAAATCAGAGGCTCATGTGAAATGGAGGGGAAAGAGAATTACCCTAAAACTAAATTGTTTCACTATCTGAAATTTAATATTTCAGAACCTGATTATATTTCTCTTATTTGAATTTAGTTTCAATCCACCTAATATTATTAGGATTGAGAACATACATCATAGAGCAACCTTCTCCAACCTAATGGCCATGGGAATGGTGGGAGTTGTAGTCCAATGCATCTTCAGGGCACCAGGTTGGGAAAAGCTGCTGCAGAGTACATGCTCTCTATACTTTATGTTGCAAAGGAGGTCTATGTCACTTCCTCTGCATGGCCCTTTTTGGGAAATGTGTATAGAGATTCAGAGCTACGGTTAGGCATTTTATTGTAACTTCTGAAATTCCAGATTCCTCACAGGTTATTTCTATTAAATTATTTCCAGCCTTTTACAGAAATATCAGTCTGATAAGGTAACACAGTTCTAAATGGGCCAGGAAGATAAGGTCAACAGGGCCAACTGATAAAGTTATTTTTAAAAATGATTTAAATATTGCCTCCAGAAGATGGTAAAAAAGGATCTTAACTACCACTGAATACACTAATGAACATGACAGACTTCCTGATGCTTTGAAGATTTTAAAAGGGTTAGGGTTAATGTGCCTAGGGAAACATAATTTGGGCGAGACAAACACCACTTTTCTAACTTCAGAGGGCACTCAGAGAAGGACTTCTAAAATGTTCCTAATCAGTGGGTAGGTTCCTGAGGAATGCATGGCAATCCACCCTCTTCCCCTGCACATGCATGCGCATGCACACAGATAATACAGCTGGAGGGCAGAATCTCCTGCTCAGTTTGTGACAGTTGGGTGGGAAAAAGACCCAGTTGCCCTATCCTGCTGTTTCCCATGAAGAAGAGAAGGAGCTTTTCGAAAGTAGACTCTATACCAGTCCCAGAACAACCAGGCTAGGAGCATTTCCAGGGTTGGGATATCATCAGTTTAAAAACTTTTAAGGGCCCCTCTCATGGGCAAAGTCTTACTGTGTGTTTCCTCAGAGGCAAGTGCTGTTCAGCAATGGCACTGCTTTTCCATGCTGCTGCTGCTTGACTGAGGACCCTTCTCCTGGCTCTTTTCTTTTTAAACGAGTTTCTGTACGTCATTGCTTCTTGTCCATTTGCCTTGGCTGCAATACCCCTGAATTGTTTCTCATTCCTGTTCCCTCCAAAGGCTGTATGTGCAGTTAATTACTGGTTTTCTTTTTTTAGGCAAAAAAGTAAAAGAAAATAAATGAGCAGTTGATTTTACTGCAACAAGAAAACCAGTAATTAAAGGGGGCTCCTCATACTTTGCAGGAAACAAGAACTGTCTAAGGGCAGCTCAGAACACTGGGACATACAAGTGAACAAGAAACAAGTGATTATAATGGGGGATTGATTTAAAAGAAAAGGAGAAGGAGGGACCAACCAATTAGAGGGACAGAAACACTAAAGCCAGCCCATACATGACAGGTTGACACAGTGGGTTTTAAGTGGGTGGATTGTGGGGAGGGAGGAGAGGAATAGCCACAGATTGGATCTGAAGAGGAAAGACAGCACAGAAAACTCTACCATCTCACAACTTGATAGCTTCGCATGAATTCTCAGGTGAAACCAAATGAGTGCTGTGCAGCAAGTGTAGTAGCATCCTGAGTCCTTTATATGGCACAAAGCACGGACAGACACTGCTGCAAAAGTTGTTAGGATATCGCCAGAGTTTAGGAAGCCCCTGTGCTTTTCTGCATCTGTGCAAGCTGATGCTTGCATCCCTAAATGATATACTAAACTCCCATGAAAGGCTTCAGAACCTCTCGGTGAAGGCAGGGGGAGAGAACCATACAAATAATGCTTTGCTTGCCTTTGCTTTTAGTCTAAAAGACATAGATCTGTCAACACTGGGTGATTCTGGAGTCCACGTGAAAATGATTGCAGCCCCTATCAATCCATCAGACATCAATATGATTCAAGGTAACCTTGCCTTGTATGAAGACAGTTTCGTTTTTGTGTCCCATATCATTCCCTCATACATGGACAGCATCATCAGGTTGCATTTGGTGGCATTTGTCAGGTGACATTTGTTTGCTTATTTGAATCATTTATATCCTGCTCAACAGCTGAGGCTCTCTGGGCAGTAAACAGAAGTTAATATTAAACAAAAGTTTAAATGATGCACATACAATAAAAAGAACAAAACCATAATTGAGATGACCATTATTTAGCACAGAAGCACAGCAGTGGTACAGAAATAAAATCGGATGTATAAAAACAAAGTTTAAAAGTTAGGTGGTTAAAATGCTGGGGAAATTAAATGTCTTCATCTAGTACCAAAAAGAGTGCAAACCTTTCATTGGGTCGGCACGGTGCCAGCACACTCCCCCCCCCTCCCCAAGACTGACCTGTTCTGGCTGTTGTAGGAGGATACTCAAAGAAGCAGCAACTGCTATTCTCATTGCTGGAATGCTACAGCAACACTTAAAGGATTGTGAGGCAACCAGAGGCTGTATATCTGGTATGGGTTCCCCGGGGATATGAATGGATAGGGCAACAGCCAGAACATCATCTCCAACCTGCTGCACTCTAGATCAGCTGAACCCCAACACTTTTCAATTGGACATGCTGGCTGAGGATTGTGGGTGTTGTAGCCCAACACATCTGAAGGGCACTAGGCTGGAGAAGTTTAGTTTAGACAGCTGTGGAAAGAATGGGTCCTTTCTCTGTGGTACTGCTACTAATCTAGTCATTTTAAATTTATTTAAATCTGGGTTTTAAATCAGCTTTTGGGAGTTGCATTCCTGTGGTAAATGGGGCCAAAGGCCAGAAATATCAGGCTAGTTTAGCTTAAAGCTTTTACTGACAGTAACCTAAGCCTTAGGAGAACCATTTCAGGATTTTAGAATACAGGAAACATCCATCAGTGGTTGGGGGAAAGGGGTGGGGTCTTCCAAGGCACTTCAGAGGGCTAGGTTTTGCCCTCAGGCCTAAGTTTCTGTACCCCTGATTTATTTGGGCACACTGTGAAGCACCTTAGAACCTGTTATGGTTGAAAGGTGGTCAGTAAAGAAGAAAAATGCCTTCATGTGTATCATATGCTGGCATCTGTTTTTGAACCAAAATATATAGTTGAAGCAAATCTGAACTTCATTCCTTAGATGCTTATGTGCATGGTTCTGGTCATCTTGTAGGAACTTACGCTATTCTAGCTGACTTGCCTGCAGTTGGTGGGAATGAAGGAGTTGGACAGGTGGTAGAAGCTGGGCGTCACGTGACATCTCTGAAGCCAGGTGACTTGGTGATCCCAGCTGATGCAGGCCTTGGTGAGTCTGAATCATTTTTTAATCAAGCTTTTCGGGTAAGGAAAAGAAAAACATACCCATGAAGAGTCTCATTCTCCAGTGTATAGACTACTTAAGCTGTGCTTTCAGCAGCAACTAATCAACCCCTCCACAAAGGTTTCCTTTAGAAAATATTTGATGAGGACATGTTAGTATCTACCTATTTTCATCAATAAACTGAGAGTTTACATATAGCTGGACTGAGCAAGAGTCGTTCAGTTTATGGAGTGTTTGATCCACCTGACCATGGATTATGTATCATTTAGCAAGAGCACCCAGTGGTACAAGGGCAGCTGGAGGGTGGACAACTTAATTGTGGAGGGAATGGCATATGGAGAAAGGGTTCAAAAATTGCCCAGTACGACAGCCCAGCTCCAATTATGGGGTCCTTGTGACTGTATTTACCTCTTTAGCAATGAAAACTACATACTGGATAACCAGTTGCAGTTCTCTCCACTTCTTACCTAGTTTGGGCTAAGAAACGAGCCCCAATGTTCTTACAGATTAGAGGTTTGGGATTTAGCAAGTAGATACAACTCCAGTTTTATTTTCTTGGCTCTTCAGTTTATGTATTTAAATTGTTTGCTTAAGCTGGAAACGTCTAATGTAAGCTGCATGTTTGTACTTGAAGTTGCTCTCATAGCCTGACTTGTATCCTTCTTTTTTAATTCCTCGAATCAGGAACATGGCGAACAGAGGCAGTGTTTAGTGAGGAAACCCTTC